AAATTTTATAATTTTTTTTATTCAAATTCTAGAAAGTAGGTGTAAGATTTAAACTACTTCCACGATTGTTAATAAAATACCAATTTCTCGTAATTGTTTGAAAGATAATAAGATTTTACTTTAAACTTTCACAAAGTATTGATACATTCTCATTGAATTCATTGGGGCTTCGTTCTGTAAATTCCTTCAAAGTGTCAAGTTTTAATTATAATAAAAGGATGGCGAGGATTGCGTTTCCGTGCCGTGACGAGGAGAAAATGGGGAATGGCAATCACGGCAGATATTAATTTCCATTAAGGAACATCCAATTTCCAAGGTGGATAGTAAAAAGAGTCGATAATTATATTTAACAGCGGACGTAAAGGACTCTGATAGATTAGACCTCGAAACCTTCGATTTTCCTATATTCTTCTTCTCTTCCCTCCCCCTCCTCCTTTTTTTCGCACGACACGACCATCGTTCTATAACGATACGAGATCGACTGGATATCGACGTAATTAGAATACCAATTATCAGATGGGTTTAATCGAAAACCGTGATTACCATCTTCCGCGACACTCCAATTTGAAACTACTTACTCAATTTTCTTCGAAGAGACTATTATCATATTCATTTTATCGGGTAAAAATTTTATATCGTATCGAAAAAAAAAAAAGGAAAATCGAAATTACAAAATCATTCGAAAACACAAATTTCACAGGAGGGGAAAGAAAACAACTAATTGTTCGAACTAACTGACTTGAATAATTCATATAAAAATTCATTTAAAATACTCGATCAAAAATTCAGATATTTCGTCTAATACAATTTTAATTGTCAAAAAAACTAGATATTCCAAAAGTTTCCAAAAAAAACCTTCAAACTACTCTATGAATTGATTTAACTGTAAATTCTAAATCTAAAATCCGAAAATTAATTAAAAATTCTCATTTCAAAAAGGAAGAAATTCAACGAATGATTTATTTATTTTATTCAAATCTCAAGATTGAAAATCCAAAAAACAATCGATAATTTAAAATTCTTGAACCTTTGTCTATTCCTATTAAAACTTCGACCGGCTAAAAAATTTCAAAAAGAAATACTCCATGAACCATGATTCAAAACCAATCCTCTTTGCTTCCCAGAAAAATCCCAAAAGAGATCGAAAACCAATCTTCTCGAGGCAAG